CTTCCTTCCTTCCTTCCTTCCTTCCTTCCTTCCTTCCTTCCTTCCTTCCTTCCTTTTGTCAGTCTTAGATGAGTACAATATCTTTATTTTATTTTTTATGAGGTGCTGAGGATGGAACCCAGTGCTTCACATGTGCTAGGCGCACACTCTACCACTTGAGCCACAATCCCAGCCATATCTATTTATTTTTATGTGGTGCTGAGGATTGAACCCAGGGACTTGCATGTGCTAGGCGAGTGCTCTTATGCTGAGCCACAACCCCAGCCCCATAAGCCACAATCCCAACCCCAAATTCTTAGTTTTAATTGCTGAATATTTTGGGGGCATCCTGTAATTTAAACTTAATAACATATACAAAATGAAGCATACTCTGAGCACATCTTTTCCTTTAGATCTTTTTGTATAGTCCTCTGGAAAGCATGTACTGTTCATTAGAATGAATCTATAGTTAGAAATATTAATATATAGACATTTTAATATGTGGTCATTTTCAACTAATAAAATACTGGTGGACATAAGGTCTTTTAAATGATTGTGAAAGTTAATGGTCAATAATATGCTGCTTAGTTTTGATGTGTTCAATCTTCTCTTTATTAGGCAAGAAGTTATGAAATGGAATGGATGGGGTTACAATGATTCCAAGTTCTTCTTCAATAAGAAGGGTGAAGCTGAGTTGACTGGGAAAAGGTAATCCTGTTTGATTATTCCTTTCTTTTCCTTTTTCTCTCTACAAAAAATTTTAAACATAAAAATAGAAAAGATAGCATAATGATCCTGCCTTCATTTAAAAATTATGAGCATTTTGTAATAATTCCTTCCTTTTTTTCTATATTTTTAATTCTGACATTATGTCTATATTTATATATGTATCCTTTTAAAAAAATAAGGACCTAATATTATAGGTCACACTTCCAAGATAGCAAACATTTTATAATAATATCTAATTATTCAGTCCATATGAACATTCCTCTAAATTGTCTCACAAATTCCTTTTGTAAGTAGTTTATTTGCCTCTGAATCCAAACAAGGTCTTCAGCCATCTCACCACCCAATCAATATCCATGCCATTGATTTATTAAAAGTAACTTCATATTTATTATTCACATCTCTGTGTGGATTATAATGAAAGGTAATAATTTTAGGTCTGTGCAAAGATAAATGCTATTTAAAAAATGAATTTCTGAGATATATTGGGGAGAAATGATGAAGAAAGGTCATTTTTATGACAGTTTTCACATTTCTGAAGTGTTCTGGTAATATGTTGATGAGAATTATTAAGGATATTTGTTCAGTCATACCTCAGAAGAATTCTAAAGGATATTTGTATTGTTAAGTGTTTATTTTAGAGGTAAACAGAATTGTGAAATGTCTTCTTAGTTGACTTTAAACAACACTGCTCCTACCAAAACTGTTTTAGTTTGTTTTTGAATTTTTATGTAACTTTTGAAAATGCAGTGAGTATAAATATGCACTATGTGAATGCTGGTTTTAAAAAAATAAATATTGAGACTAAGTAGAAAAAAATGGGTATAGATGTATTATTAAAATGTCAGTAAAGGAAGTAAATTCTATTTTTTTTGTGTGTTTATTTATTTTTAGTTGTCAATGTACCTTTTTTATTTTATTTATATGTGGGGCTGAGGTTCAAAGGTTCAAAACCCAGTACCTCACATGTACTAGGCAAGCGCTCTGTCACTGAGCTACAACTCCAGCCTGGTTTTTTTTTTTTTTTTTTTTTTGATGAAGTTATTTCTTTTCTTTGCAACATAATTGTAGTGCTGGTCTATTTTTTGATTTCTCTATATTTTGTACCTGAAGTAAAACATCAGGAGTAGTAAGTAGAAACTAATTTTCACGAAGGTATTTTAATAGGAAATTTTAATTTTTTAATAGGAAAAATAAACATCTGTGTTCTCATTTTTATTCTTAAATATAATTGGGCAGCATAGAGGCTTACTTGAGAACTTATGTAATTCAGGTAGAAAAAGGGATTTCTTGTTAAAGTAAATTAACCAGTGTTTTTAATCTTGAGTTTTTATGTTTTAAATAGAATAATGTCTAATACAGTAGAAACCTACCTAGGTAAAGTTTGGCTTTTCAAAATCTTTTGGAGAAAAAAATAAATTTTCTAAACTTAGAAAACCAACTTTATTTTCTTTTAGACACCTCCTCATTTTTCTCTCTGTCTCTTTGAACCTGAAGGAACATTATTTCTATTGTATGGGAGGGGGCATGTTGTCACTTGTGTTGCAGCATAGTGCCATTGAAAGCGTAAGACTCCTGGAGCCTTCTGTGGAGTACTTACTGTAGGTAATGGAGTGGTTTATGTTAGAAATGTATGTGGGTATGTGACATGATTAGTCACAGAAAACATCACAGGTAACTGCCTTAGTGGATCCCATGTGTTTAGCATCTGGATCTTATTTTAGGTGTTCTGGCACTTGGTTTGTCATTTTTCCCAGGGGAGATCAAGCTGTGGAGACTTGACACATGGACCACACTCCTGAGAGAGATTTTAAAAATTAAACCCCAGTGTATTCATTGATGGTTTGATTATTCCTATACTTGTTTCTGCCCTTCCTTACGTTAAAGTATCTAGAGAACAAAATTTGTAATTCAATTATTGTTAGAAGAGCAAAAATTAAGAGCAAAAGGGATTTTAGTGACCCTGATAGACATTTTTGTCCAGGCAGTAACAGAACCAGATAATTTATCTGTTGGGTTTACACACAGGAAGATTGTCACTACTGCCAGTCTTAATAGAAAGGATTCTTTAAAGGCATCATTTCTTTGTGTCATTTCTCAGTGAGTCAGAGTTCATGGGAGAGAGGAAGAATAAGGGTACATCTAACTGTAAGAGCTTACAAGGAGACCTGGAAAGTAAATATCTGGTGTATGCATGTTGGTGGAAGGTAGCTCTTGCCTCCCTCCAAGACTTATGCAAAGGGTAATTCCTCAAGCATAAAAGTGAAATTTAGACAACCTAAGATGAAATGTGTAACACACAACAGAACTAAAATTAAGTAACTAAATAATAGTCAATTCCCATTTTCATGCTTCAGGGAACACCTTTATCTTTTCACAGACAGGATAATAAAGTGAATTGAATTTAGGCATAACTTTCTCTAAGTCTAGTCTAGTTTCCTGAGGATAATGGGTGAATCATTGGATTTCTCTGGTATCAGAAAGTGTTGCAAATTTCTTTCTTTCTTTCTTTTCTTTTTTTTTTTTTTCTTTTTGTAGTGCTGGGAATTGAACTTAGGGCCCTGTGCATGCTAGGCAAGTATCCTACCATTCTGTTTGTTCTCTCTACTGGAATAGTGTCTACTAGAATCTCTTTTTTTTCCCGCCCTCCATTAAAAAACACACAGAACAAAAGTAGCAATAGGAGGACATAAACTACCATCTTGGAAAAAATTAATTCGATATTGCCTCATACCACATACACAGATTATTTTCAGATAGAATGTAGACTTAAATGTATAAGCTAAAACTGAAACTGCTAGGAGAATATACAGAATTCTTTCTGAGTTTGAGGTTTACGAAAAGCAGAGAACAAAGATTATTAACTAACAAAGGAAAGAAAATAAACAACATTAAAATATAGAATTTTTTTTATCAAGACTCTAGTAATAGAGAGTGAAAATGTAAATCATAGAGTATGATAAAATGTTTAATACATATATTCCTGATTTCATAATATGTAGACAGTTCTGGTACATCAATAAGTAAATAATAATAGCCCAAAAGAAAAATGACCAAAAAACTTGAACTGGCATACAAAACAAAGAATATCTGAAATGAGATACCAACAGAATGTTTGAGAGTTTCAATTATAGAATTTCTGTTTTGTTATTTATTATAATTTTTATTTCTATGCTGAAATTTCTGGTCCTTACTAGGAGCATATTTTTTTCTTTGGTCCTTTAGCCAAGTTGTTATTAGCTGCTTTAAAGTCCTTGTGTGCTATTTCCAGTATCTTGGATCATCTTTGGGTCAGTTGTCATTATTTCTTTTTTCTTTTGATGATGGATCACATTTTCTTGTTTGTTCATGTTTAATAATTCTGGAGTGAGTCTTGGATGTTGTGATTGATATGTCCTAGAAACTCAGGATTCTTCTGGACGCTGCTATATTCTGCCATAGAGACTTTTAATTTTTTTCCCCCCTAAATCAAGCATTTAATTTGACTGATGTCAGACTCCAAATACTGCTCCTCTGAAGCGATAAACAATTATGTTGTCTTTTCAGTTCTTTTAAGCTTATCTGGGGTGTTTATAAGACTCTCATACATATTCTACCCATGTATATTCAGGGTCAGCCAGATGTTTGGACAGAGTTGAAACATAGGTCCCTCCTATAGGTTCTGTGATTTCTCTGTATGCTTTCCAGACGGCTGCATTTACTACAAACACTCCCTTATTCTGCTTCTTTAAGCTGTTTTTAAAAAATTTTTGTTACCTCAACAGCTGTAGTTCTCCCCATTGTCAAAACTGTTTAAAAAGCAAAGCAAAGCTGGATATTTACATAGTGCTTTTTCCTTCTTCCAAGTGTATTGCATACTTACTTTTGTTCCATCTATACTGTCTTCAGATAGCTAGGTTTTATTTTGTTTTTGTTTAGAGTTGATAGTTATATGTTGGAGGGTTAGTTTGATAGGAACTGTTTGACCATTACTAGAAGCAGAATCTAAGCTTCAAATTTAAATGAAGATACTTTACTCTAAAATTTAATCTTCTTTGTATCTTAGGTACCCTCTTAGTGGCTTGACTTTACCAACTTTTAAGGAATGGATCCAAAATACACTTGGAGTAAGTCTGGAACATAAAACTACCTCTAAAGTAAGCAAATAAGAATAATTACTAACTTGCTTAACTGTTTTTTTTAATCCCAAATTAAATAGAATTATCTTTGTAATTTGTTGTGTTTGCTTTAATACAGTTATGGTTTCTTTTTTATGAAGCCTATTAATTATATAGGTCTTGTCAGGTTTTGTAGAAGGGTTTTTTTCTCACAGTATCTAGATTCTAAATTTCAGAATTTAAGAGTTATTTGACTAGTTTTTTTTCTCTTTTCTGAGTTTTGATTATTTTTAATTTAAGAAGTGGGAGTAATAACTGTTATACCTCTGACAGGGTAGTAGTGTTGTACAAATTAGTTAATTCTGTGAGTATTTTATTATAGAAATGAAAGTTGCTATTATTTTTATTTTTAAAATTTCTTTCTCTTTTTTTTAATAATGTTTTTTAGTTGTAGATGGACACCTTTATTTATTTATCTTTATGTGGTGCTAAGGATAGAACCCGGTGCCTCACATGTGCTAGGTGGGCGCTCTACCACCGAGCTGATACCCCAGCTCCTAAAATATATTTATTTTTTTTGGCTCCAGGGATTGAACCTAGGGTACTTAACCACTGAGCCACATCCCCAGCCCTTTTTATGTTTTAAATTTTAAGACAGGGTCTCTGTAAGTTGTGAGGGGCCTTGCTAAGTTGCTGAGGCTGGCTTTGAATTTGTGATCCTCTTGCCTTAGCCTGCTGAGCTACTGAAGTTACAGGTGTATGCCACTGTGCCCAGCTAAATTGCTGTTATTTTTAGATAACAAAGTAATAGGTAGTAATCTATGATAGATAGAATAAAATAAAATTGTTATATGTTATATTTAATAGTAAACATTTAGAATATTTGAAAAATTACCAAAAAACCTAAAAACTTAAAAGATATGAATGATAGAGAATTTTAATTTGTTTGTGTAGTTTTTACTTTTCTGAAAGATTAAAAAACTTTAAACTGGCCGGGCGTATAATCTTGGCTACTTGAAAGGCCAAGGAAGGAGGATGGCAAGTTTGAGGCCAGCCTGGGCAATCTGTTGAGATTCTGTTTCAAAAAAAAAAATGCTAGGCATGTGATTCAGTGATAAAGTGTTGCCATAGCATGTACCAGCTCCAAGGTTCAATCCACAGTTCCACAAAGGAAAAAAAAGAAAAAATCAATAAACTGTATACATAGGAAACCAATGAAATATTTATCACCTCTTTATATTGTTATTAGTTTGCTGTACCAGAGGTATTCTGCATGTCCCTCCAACTGGATATGAATTTCCTAAATATAGGGGCTATGTCATTCATGATATTCTTCACTGTAACCAATATATTATTAAGTATTGGTAGTCAGTGGGTAATTGCTAGATTTATTTATAAATTCAGTTATTTTATTCTAGTGATTAAATGAGACTGCTGAACAAGCCATGCAACATGCCACATGCCTATAATCCTAGCTATTCAGAGGCTGAGGCAGGAGGATCTCACACGTTCAAGGCCAGCTTGGCAATGTAGTGAGAACTTATCTCAAAAAAAAATAGAAAAGGCTGGGGATGTAGCTCAGTGGTAGAACTACATCCTGGATTCAATCTTCAGTATCACCAAAAAAAAAAAAAAAAAAAAAAAAAAGAAAAAGTGGGACTGAATAGCTAATTCCTGCCCCTACCAAACCAAATTATTTTTCTTATGTCTCTTTTATCATCTCTTAAATTATTTTTCTGTCTCAACTATTTGTGAATACTTTTTATCTTTGACATTGATGTAACACATGCTATATTCAGATATGTCACCACATTTCAGATACATTCCATTTTTCTGCTTTTGAGCCCTTTTCGATTTTTAATAACGTATTGTTATTATTATTTTGAGGTATTCTTTTGGTAATTTCCTTCTAGTACAGGATAAATTCCATGAGGTTCTTTTTTTTTTTCTATTTAACTCACTGCTATATCCCTAAGCCTAGGTCCATGCCTAGCTTATAGTAGCTAGCAATCAGTATTTGTTATATGAATAAAATTCATAAGAGACCAGGAATATAGAAATATCATATGCTTTTCTTTATATATTCTTGTACTTTTTTCCCTGAATACTATATCATAGTTTTTGTTTTTTAAGATTTGCTAGACATGCTATTAGGTTCTTTTCACAAAAATTAGCACATTTAATCTGCTTTCCTCATAGTATTCTTACACATTTGGGGGTGGGTTTTTGTCAGCTTTTTTGTCACTGTGACCAAAAAACCTATCAAGAACAATTAGATGAGGAAAAGTTTTTTAGGTTCACAGTTTCAGAGGTATCAGTCCATAGAGGGCTGACTCCATGGTGCTAGGCCTGAGGTGAAGCAGAACATGATGGTAGAAGAGTGTGGGGAGGAAAGCAGCTCAGGATAGGGAGTTAGGAAACAGAGCACTGCTCACCAGGGACAAAATATAAACCCCAAAGGCATACCTCTAGTGACCTGTCTTCTCTAGCCACACTCTACCTGCTTACACTTACTTGGCCAGTTAATTCATATCAGTGGATTAATACACTGATTAGGTTAAGGCTCTCATAACTTAAGTATTTTACCTTGAAACCTCTTGCATTGTCTCACACATGAACTTTTGGGGGACATCTCATATCTAAACCTTAACAGTGGGTTAATCTCATATAACAGATAAAGAAGCCAAGTCTCACAGAAGTTGAATGACAAACCCAGTGTCACATAGTTTTCAAAATACCTTTTTGCCCATAAACTAATGTTAGTTAACATTAGGTTTCAAAATACCTTTTAGTTGAAATTGGTATTCAGTTTATAATTGTGTCATGAGATTTTTCAGCCCATTAAAATTTTTTTTATTACTGTTATTGATCTTTTTAAAATGGTCAGTGAAGACTAGGAGATGATAATATTTTCTACAGGGAAAAATATAGATAATGCAAAACACAAATAGCTCTTTCCCACTCTTCTCCCACTCTCCTTAAACTAAAATTGAAGATTTTTGACTACTTTCTTCCCTGTTCTGGATTGCAAATAATGAAAAGTGCGTCATAGAAGCCAAGAGGAAATGTGGGACTTCTGTAATTCATGTGATAGGATATAATTAATCAGACTATTTGTAATTTGCCACTGTCAAAAGTTGGTTTCTGTGTTTACTGCTTCTAACTTTGAATGCAAAAAGAAATCTGCATTTCATAGTCACTCTCCTGAACAGAGATATTAAAAATTTATTTTCTGGAAATAAATTTTATTTTCTAGGCATCCTTAAATCCTAGTGATACTCCTCCTTCAATTGTAAATGAAGATTTTCTTCATGAACTTAAAGAAACTAATATTTCATATTCACAAGAAGCAGATGATCGAGTATTTAGAGCTCATGGTAAGCTACTTTAAATTGGTATCATTTACTTTTAATTAAAAATTTTCTAGGTTTTATAAAGATATTTTTACATTTTTTCTTTTTAAAATCACTAACAGGTCATTGTCTTCATGAGATATTTTTGCTCAGGGAAGGAATGTTTCAGCGAATTCCTGATATAGTTTTATGGCCAAGTAAGTTATTTTTTTCTCTTTGTACCATTAACTTAGTATTGTTAAATATTAAGTAAATTTGGTACTTGAAATATGTACTTTTTAATGTATGAGTTAAATATAAATAGTGATATTTTTAAGAACTTACTAAAGGCCTTGAGACTCTTTCTTGATGAGATTGTTCTGAACAGTAGGTTTTTAAGGATTACTGTTGATTATTAAGTCTTTAAGTTAAATGTATATAATTGCATTTAATGATCAGTAGAAAGATATATATTTTATTCATTTGGAAGCTTAGTGAAATTAGTACAATTTACTCAGATACATAGAAATTATTAATAAATACAATTACTATAAAACTAAAAATAATAGTAATTTGGTAACATTAGTTTATGGGCTAAAAAGTAAGGTTATGTGGTAAAACAAGTTGTTTAAAAATATATGTGACACGAGCAAGGGATGGCAGCGAGGTCCCCCGACCACTCCCGGGTGGTCCTGAAGTCACCGTCGCCCCTGCCCCAGGTAACCTCTCCCGGCCGACGATCCGTGTCTTGAAGAAAGAAGCCGCCGCACACGAGATGCCTTTTCGAATGCTCGGTTTATTCACTCCAGGGGCATCACATCACACGAGGCACAGGAACAGAGGCTGGCGGGACGCAGTTCGCTCGATGTTGACCCACCACATAGTGGGTCTGAACTGGCCAAAGAGCTCAGCCTTCCTGGCCTTTAAATACTATAGTTGTTTACATACCTTAAACCAAAAACATGTTTATTCCGTAATTTCTATTTCTTATCCTATCTTAACAGATCGTCTCTATTACATCACACCTTGCTTACATCTTTGCTTATCTTAGACAATCACACTTGTTTTGTGCTAACATACCTCAAAACATGTTTACCTTATATCCTTATCTATTTCACACATTTTCTAGCTTAGGCACCTTTCTTCATGACAACATGTTTACTTCAAACTCTCGTGTCCTTTGTTTATTTCAAACTCTCCTGTCAATATGATATACTTACTATCTTTGAAATGAATAAGTTTTGAGAAATTAACATTTTGGACCTGGCTTGGGAAAGAAGATGGATGAACTTTTTGTTATCTTGCTCTTGGTAAGGAATTAGGTACTATATTTATTACACTTTTTTAAAACTATCTCTTTTTTTCGGTATAATTTAAAGCAGGGAAGGTATGTTGTTCCTTGCTGTCCATGATAGCATTGTTAAAAAAGTTATATTGATTTCCAGACCACTTTTTTCTTAAGATTTTCCACTTCAAAGTATATAGAATATTTTATTTTTCAGAAAATTGGTTCATTCATGAATTCTGAGGTCTTAGATAAGATCCTTCCACTTTGTAGGAACTTTCTGAAGGAAAAATGATACCTAAGATGGGGAGAAAAAGGAGGTAAGATAGGAAAATCCAAGATCATATGTAGTAGAGATGAAATTAGTTTCTTGATTCTTGGGATGTATATTCTCCCATACATTTGGAATAGTTATGGTCTTTTGTCTCCATTTAGTATAGAAATTTAGTTTTTCCTAAGAAAAAGAAAAAGGAAAAGTTATTGTCAAATAGGAGAAATATTTTGTTTTGCCTGCTGATTTTTTTAGTAACTTTAGGCTGCTTCTTTACTAAGATTTGTGGAAGGTTTATTCCTTTTTTTAAATTTGAAAATTCTTTTTTCATTTTTTATTTTGTTGGTACCAGGGATTAAACCCAGAGGTACTTAACCACTGAGCCACATCCCCTTTTTAATATTTTATTTAGAGAAGGGTTTCGCTAAGTTGCTTGGGACCTCAATAAGTTGCTGAGGATGGCTTTTTAAATTAATTAATTAGTTAATTACTTTTTTTTTTTTTTACAGTAGAATGCATTTTGGAGTATTGTACACAAATGGAGCACAACATCTCTTTCCTCTGGCTGTACATGGTACACAGTCACTCCAGTAGTGTGATTAAACATGTATATAGGATAATAATGTCTGTCTCATTCTGCTGTTCTTTCCATCCCAAAAGCCCCACCCCTCCCCTCACTCCCCTCTACACAAATCAAAGTTTCTTCACATCTCCCCCAACCCCCACTATGGATTAGCATCCGCTCATCAGAGAAAACATTCGGGCTTTTGTTTTTTTGGTTTTGGCTTATTTCACTTAGCATGATATTCTCTAGTTCTGTCCATTTACCTGCAAATGCCATAATTTTATTCTCTAAGACTGAATAATAGTCCATTGTGTGTGTGTGTGTGTGTGTGTGTGTGTGTATATATATATATATATATATAATATATATCACATTTTCTTTATCTATTCAATCCATTTTTATTTTTTATTTTTTTTTTTTACTGGAAAACATGAAAGCAAAATTTACTGATTTTCATTGGCCACAGGAAACTTAATAGACCTTCCTTTGACGTATCTTGAGAAGAAATTTCAAGTGTGTCTTCTGGGTATTGTCATCATGTTTGAATATTGAAGTACTGAGAGAATTCCAAAGTGGAAGTATGTCTTTCTTTAAGAAGTCTAAGTATTTTTAAAAAGCCAAATGTAGGAAACAGAATTAGTTGCCACACACAAATTTCTTTTCTTTGTAAAATCCTACCCATTTGGTTAGTTCCTACACGTCTGTGCTTGTCCATTTTATTTTCCCCACCCCAATTTCTAGTTCGGTTTTTTATTAGTGTGTAACTGGGTTTTTGCAATAATAGCTTTAAAGGTTTTCATGCCTCAAGTTTCTTAACTCTTCAGATCTCCTGTATACTCTCCAGAGATTTAATTTTTGTGAAAGAATTCCTTGCATTTTATGTCATACTTTATTTCCCATCACATTGTCAGTTCACAGTGACCTTTATTTAACTTTGATATAAATTCTTATTGTTGATGCTTCTAAATTTTCCTTTGCATGAGGGCAACTTTTGAGGCAGTGCAATTTGAGCTAATTCCATGGAGTAGAATTGACTGTCTCACCTTGCAGTTTGGAGACCACACCTCTCCAAATCTGTATTTGAAGTTATCTTTAAGTCTATTTAATCTGAATCTGAATTGTACATATTGCTTTAATGGAATGGCTATGGATTGTTTAAGAGTAAAGACTTTGTGATATATGTAGCTTTCCTGCTCTGGTGTCATCTTTAAAGCAGGATTTTCACCATTGTGACCTTTCCACAGTGTACATATCTTGACCTTTAGTTTGGACAGATGGTTAGTCACTCATATAATGCATGTTTTTGGTGTAAGTATGCTCATAAAATTTAAAATTTCCTTTAGCGAAAACATTTTAAAAATTACTTCACTTAATAATACCAGAACCACTCATATTTAGTCTCAGCACCTCTTACTTAGCATTTACAGTCTTCCATAGTTAGGTTTTTCGTACTTGGATAACTTTAACACTGATAAAGAGCCCTTTAGTTAGGTGTTGGTCTATTTTGTGTAAGATTTTAATGTTTTTCTAAAAAGCAGAAAAAAGAATCATTAATGAAGTGTTAAAATTAGTGGGTGAAAGTATGATGAGAAACATACTATTTACATATCTAAAGAAATTTACTGATTTCAACAGGAAATATACCTACCAGACAATCTAACCTGTCAGGGTTTTAGCGCCCCCCCCAACCCGGTTCCCCCCTGACCTGTGGGAGAGATTGAGGGAGCACGCCCTGGTCGGGACAGGCCAAGAAAGGTAAAGGTCGACTGGCCGCCCACAGGCGGGCCAGGGAGAACAGTCAAAGCAGGATTTCCTTTAATGAGAAAACATACACAGCTAATATAATGTACAGGAACCAATCAGGGTAAAGGTCAGCAGGGTGGGGAATCTACACCCAACCTACAGACAGTAATGGGAGACATGAGCTGTCCTTGAGGGCAGAAGGGTTCTGAGCCTATCCTAGAGGTGGACCCATTCTTCATCACAACCCATGGCAATGCCTTCTGGCTAATTGCTAGGTGCTCTCTTAGCCACCTATGGCCCCAGGACTGGGAAGCGAGTAGCAGCCAGCAAGTTAAGTTTCCTCTTTTCTGATCCAACATGCCCCCGTTACATCATGCCTTACACTAACCAAATGAACAAAGTTAACGTTACTGGAAATAAGACATGTCTGTGTGTGCATCATGTGTCTCCGGAAGTATTGCACTAAGAAAGGTACAATATCCCCTTCTGTGTAAATTGCTGTCAAAATATAGAATCTGTTTAATCATGAGGAAACATACAAATCCAAACTGAGGATATTTTATGAAATAACTGAACAGTGTTCTTAAAAAGTGTCATGGTCATGAAAGTCAGAGATAGGCTAGGCTTCGGAAATGTGTAGCTTTAAAGAAGAATGAGGAGATGTGACTAGCTAAAATCACTGTGTGATCTGGATTTGACCCTGAACCAGAAAAGGGAACTTTGGTGAGACAATTGACCACAGTTAAGGTCTGTAAATTAGTTAATAGTTTTCAGTATTAATTGCTTGGTTTTGTTAAGTGGACTTTTGTAATATAAGATGTTATTGTTTGGGGATGTAAGGTTAAGGGAATTCTTTGTAGTATTTAGTGACTTTTTTGTAAATCTGAAATTATTTCAAAATGAAAAGTTGAAAAGAACTTGTTATGTCTTAATACAGCTGTTTAGTGCATTAATGAATAAGCAAAGAAAAAGTTTGGATGCTAAATAACTTTATAGACCCTTATTTTTTAGGATCAACCAGATATTATTCATATCCCTTTAATTAATGTATTTTCCTTTTTTTTTTCCAACAGCATGTCATGATGATGTAGTTAAGATTGTGAATCTAGCATGCAAATATAACCTTTGTATCATACCAATTGGTGGTAGGTATTGTGCTTTTTTATTTAAATATGATATAAATTTGTTTTATTTAAAGTATTTGTATTTTAAGTGTTTATGTTGTCTGCTGAAAGAAACATTTCTATAATTTTAATGAGTTTTTTTTAAGGAGTCTCTTTATTGTATCCAGAATTAATTATTTTGTTTATTTTTATGTGATGCTAAAGGATCAAACCCAGTGCCTCACATGTGCTAAGGCACATACTCTGCTACTGAGCGATAGCCCCAACAGATGAGATTATTTAAAAAAAATTGGTTGATGCTGCTTATTTCTGTTCTGAAGAGGTTTACCTAAACTGAGACTTGGCGTACAAACTTTTAATTCCTGGTTTCTTTTTTCTTGGTGGATCATAGTTGAAACTGTGATTTAATGCCTAAATAAGAAAATGTTCCTGCTTTAGTAGTTACTTTCTAATCTGTATGTTTATGGATATGATTTTAATTTTCAAAGGCAAAAATAGATATACCCAATCTAAACCTTTGAGAAGCAGAGTCATAATAGAGCCTTTTGTGGATTAAAAGAGCAACAGTATATGATCAAATCATTTATATCTTTTCATGCAGAAAACTAGCATTGTTTTGCATTTTAAAATGGTTTTGATCTTTTATTGACTGCTTTGTTCTAATAACTTATTTAGGTAAAAGGAAATAAACCTTAGTGACCAAATTAGCATTGATGGAATGGAAATGGGACATTAACAATTTCAGGAGCTCCAGATCCCTTTTCAGCTCACACTATCTATTGAATTTATACAAAAAAGGGACTGCAGTGTCACTTATTATAAAATATTTTTCTGAACTCAAATAACTGTGATAATCAAATAGTTGTTACTGATTACAGGAATCATATTTGTAACTGATAATTGTCTCCTCTTTTGAAATTAATCTGATCAGCATCCATATGCTTTTTATGGGAAGTGACTCCCATATGTTTTCTTACATGAAAGTGTATGCAAGTACCAATTAAAATGTATTCTGATATAGGCTGATGGAGATCTAATTAAGGAACTGAAAATATTGTATTATTCTTGGTACCAAGAAAACACTTTTACTTTGACAATAAGTATTAAGAGAAAACAGCAGTATATTACTTAAATACTTCTGTGTATTATTTATTCTATATTAAGGTCGCTTTTTCACCAAAGAATATATTAGTTTGTTTTTAAATATCACATAATTTGGACATTTTAACTTGTTTGTAATTATTAAAAGCTTTTTTGTATGAGAATATTATTTTAAATGACAAATGAATCTCAATATTAAAGTAGAAAGTAATAAATGGCATCTAGTTATATAGGATGTTTCTTTTTTTCACAGTAATCATTAGCTTAGATTACGTATTGTTCTAATTATGCATGTGGAGTTCTACAAATTGTAGGGGCTTCACTTGAGTGTGTTTTGTTCAGGGAAAGAAACCATATCCCATTGCTTTTGGTTCCATATTGCTTCATTTTGGCAATAAATAAACTAAAGGTGAGTTTTCTTTTAGTATGTTGTTATCATTTGTGATTTGTATTTTGCAGAGTAGAAATAGATGTCCCTCTGTTAATGGTTCTATTTATATACACTGTGTTAGGAATTTGCCCTAGAAGTGTAGCTAAAAGGAAAATATTTAAACATGAAGTTGTTTGTATTTTGGCAGGAGGAACAAGTGTTTCATATGGCCTGATGTGTCCTGAAGATGAGACAAGAACAATAATTTCTTTGGACACTTCACAAATGGTATATAATAATTTAAGATGTATTTGAATGTTTATATTTAAAACATTGTCCTTATGACTTTGCCTCAATTATCATTCGAAAAAAGATCTGTTATCCGTTTTGTTTTGAATGTATTTCATTATTATATTTTAGCCTTGTCTTCAGATATTCAAAATCTTAAGTTCACTTACTCTGAGGTGCATATCTTGTTGCTATTTTACCAAATTAGAATGTGGTATTGATAATTTGAGAAGCATGAATTAGAAGATTGACATATAGATGACTTGATTTCATTTATCTATTATCTGTCTAGTATCTCTCTACTATTAAGCTACATCCACAGTCCTTTTTTATTTTTTATTTTGAACAGGGTCTCACTAAGTTGCCCGGGCTGGCCTGAAGCTTAGGATCCTCTTGCCTTGTTGTTCCTACTAGCTGAGAGTACAGGCCTGCACTGCCATGTCAGACTTCCTGTTTTTAAAAAAACAGGACAGATAATATTAGTCAATTAAGGTTAATTTGAATAATCAAAACTTGTCTCCCAGATTTATACTAATGCTGTTGCATTTTTGCTTGGTGGTGAATGGAAGAACTAATTTAATGATAGGCTTTAGTTTGAAGTTTGGATTCATTGAGTTGGACGTTGTGCTGTGTTAAGGCTTTAATTTGAGTATGAACTTTATATAATCAATGGTATTCCTGATCATTTCTTTATTATAATAAAAACAACTTTAAAAAAAACCTTTTTAATTTGAATTTTTTTTCAAACACAGAATAAAGAGAATGGTATATTTATTGTCTAGATTAGTTATTAGCATTTTGACATACTTGTTTTATCTTTTGTTTGTTCTTTAGTATTTTAAAGCAAATCCTTTAAAAATGCTACTTTACACCTAAATATTTCTGCCTGTCTCTTTAAAAGGAATATTTTCTCATGTTACTATTACATTATTATCACTCTTGGCATAGTCAAAAGTAATTTCTTAGACCATTTAATATTGAGTCTTTCTTTATGCACAGTGCCTTTGTTTTGTAGTTCATTTGTTCAAATGGGGGTTTAGAAAAGGCTTTTTGTTGTTTCTCTTAAATCTTATTTTATCTGAAAGTATCCTCTTCTTCCCCTTTTTCAAATGTTTCTGACTTTTGAAGAAACTGTTATTTATATCATAAAGTGACTTGCTTTGAATTTGTCTGTTGCTTCTTCTTGGTGTCATTTAACTCTTCTTTTATGCCCTCTATATAGACTAGTTAGATTCAGGTATGATTTTAAAAAAATTAATATATACCATAAATAAAAATATACCATCATTATAGATGGTGATATGCTTTTAAATTTTATTTTATGGAGACATAATTGTTTATGTTTGTGGGGTTATTGAAACGAGTGATGTTTTTATACTTGTATACTTTGCAATGATCAAATCAGAGCAATTATCATACCCAAGACTTTGTAATTATGTGTTGTTTAAATATCATATAACATTAGGAGAGGCGGTATACAATAGCTGATTATCCTACGTTCGTGATACTAAAATTGATCACAAGTTTTACATGGTAGCTGCCTGATTATTGTACGATGAAGTTCCCTGTCAACGTTTCTCCTTATTCCAGAATGTAAAAAAAAACTATAATTTATTCAAAATATAGAGCTACTACAGTAGCCTTTTTTTTTTTTTTGGAATGTATTTGGATTTTTGGCTCTTTATTTTGCTGTGCAAATTTACCTGTAAGTTTGTTACCAAATGTGTGAAATAGTAATACTACAGAAGGTTATTATAAAGGTTAAATGAGATAATACAAGTAAAAGTCTTGATGCTGAGTAGATGTTTAAAATTCTGAAGCAGGATTGCCATGTTTCCAAGTAGTTTTGTGTACTCACTGAACTGTTAACTTTGAATTGTTTTAAATATGATTGTTGAGTGGGTACCTGTAACTATGATTTGTGTTAAAGTCAGTAAGTCATATCTCAGTGATTTTGCTCACTGTATTTCTGCTGTAATACATATAAAATAAGGGAATCAGAGTTGTATTTGAATACATATAATAATACTATAGCCTGTTGGCTGTGGAAGTTTTTGTTTTAACTTGGATAGTGTATACTAGATGTAATAAGATAACCTGTACATTTTCTTGAGGTTTTTATGTGAATACTCATGAAGGTGGTTTTATTCTCTGCCTCTTTTAATTTCTTTTTTTCTGCCAAAAATGATGTTTGGACCCTTACTGGGTACAAGTAAATATTTAGCACATATGTGTAATTGTCTCAAGGGTCAGTCTGTTGGGGCAGAAGATGTACATAACTTATATAGATGGTATTATTAGATTAATAAATTGTTTGTCTTTTTATTCAACAATTTAATATATACATATGTATATATGTATATAAGACTAAATTTGTTTAGCTGGTACAGACCCAAACACCCAATTATACCATAGTTATGTTGAAATTACTGTTATAGGCAGAGTATAATTAATGAGTTTTATATAACAAACCAAAAAATACATTCTCATTTAGTAATTATTGTGCCCTATGAATTAAGCAGTGCAGTTATTTGTATATGTTCTAATTTGGAATTTAGGCAGACACTGCTCTTTTTGTATTGCTTATTGTATTCTTTTTATCATTAACCAGACTTATTTACATTAGTTATTATTATGCAGTTAAACATACCAAAATACAAAGTAAGCTTCCTTGGGATCCAGAAGATTCTATGTGTTACCTGATTGCTCAAATAGAAGGGGAAAGAAGGATATATATATATATTAGACACATATATACATAAAAATTAGGCCAAATAAGAATGTTAAAAACACATTTTTTTTATTATCAGAAATATATTATCATATATTTCTGCCAGAAAATACTCAGTTTCTTCTTTTGAGTATGACACAGGGATGTGCTTTGTTTTCTCTGTGGGATTTCTGGTCTTTTTTTCAGATTGACAGAAAGCAGAGATGCCATTTATTAATTCAGATGCCTTGGCAGGTGTTTTCTTTTCTATTTTCTGATTCTTAACTAGATAGGATTGCCATGTTGACAGAAGTACAGATAGTATCTACAGAATGCCAGGCCTCACGTATGCTGTTTGTTTTTTTATATGCATTATTTCATTTATTTCCAATAGCACGTGTCTACATTATTATGAGTATATAGTATTAATTTATGTATATGCTTTTACAGCGAAGAATGACTAAGCCTAGATAGTTATTTGCCTAAGCTAAGAGTTGGAGTTTAATTCATATTAATATCTGCCTAAAGAATCAGTATTTTATGTGAATAAGAGGTAAGTGTAGCTCATTTCCCACCTGGGTGGTGGTTGAATAACCCTACTTATTTAATTATTGTCTTGTCACTTGTTGCCTTTAATTAGGAAGTTCTGTATTTCCTGAGAAAATGTTAATAGAATATGGAGTTGAGACTTCTCACTTCTTTCAACAGAATCGAATTCTTTGGGTTGATGAGAACAATCTGACAGCTCATGTAGAGGCTGGCATAACAGGACAAGATTTGGAAAGACAGGTATGTTATCTCTTTAAGGTTTTCAAAACTATTCTGTCCTCTATGTAAATGAAGTACCTTTCATGTTACATCCCCCCCCCCCCCAGGAACTCAATGAATTTGCCAAGTTTCTATGTGGGTCAAGCATTAAGCTAGATGTTGAGAACATAGTAGTGAAAAAGACATTACCTACTACCCTAAGGTGGCTTACATTCTATTAGGACAGAAAGTTAGGTAAATAGAAATTTAATGATTGAGAGTGAGAATTGCCATCTGAAGGCTAAATTCAAGTCATCAAATGGGGCCAGGTGGGAAGAACTTGTACAAAGAATGTGTGACAGAGAATAGGGCAATTTGAGATGAGATTTCAGGATGAGTCAGATTAGCAAAAAAAGAGCTGAGGTGGGAAGAACAAGCAGTCAGAGGAAGAAGCATGTGCATAGGCCTTAAAGATAGTTATTGCTTTTAGTGGAGACTGCAGATAACTGAGTATGACTGCAGTGTAGTGTGTATGTAGAACACTCATCCTTGGTGTATGTTGGATGGGAGTAGCTGTAGGAGTAAGAGGATGAGTCCAAAAAACATGAAGAGGTCAGAAAATAAAGGACCTTATAAAACTACTTTGAAAGCTTGAACCTTATCCTTGTACCTTAGATAATTCTGGCTACTGTGTGGAGGATGAATAGGCCATGTAAGAGCTTATTAAGAGACTGCTGTAATAATTTAGATGAGAGCTATTAGTGACCTGATACACAGTAGGAGGAATGGAAGGGAGCAAAATGGAACATATTGGAAATATAATTCTCAAGTCTTGATGGTAAATTGCATCCAGTAGGTAGATGTTGGTGTTTGCTGTTTACTGAACTTTTCAATGAATAATTTTTATTGAAAACTGCTCATCTACAAGTAGTGAAACTTAGAGAGTCCTTGTAGCATGTTTTGGTGATTCTAATGAATTTTTGAAAAACTTATAGGTTCTCTTCATAGGTTCTAAGCAAGTCATTGTTCAAATGGTTGGATCCTTCAACTTCCTGAATTGTGATCAAGGCAATTGTAACTTAGCTTTTGTAAACAAAAGTTAGAAATTCTATTTTTTTGGTCATGTATTAATCACTTTGTCCAACTTGGGATTATAAAGACTCTTCCCTCCAAAACTTTAACAGGACATAGAGAAAGATATGATTGTTGAACTTACTTTTTATTGTCTTTTTCCTTCTTTTTTGAAATGTTGACTGAAGTTGGTCTGCTGAGACTAATTCTACTTGAAGAGGTTTGAAAACAATATTTAACTATTGTCTTTATTTTTTATTTAATATAGTAAGATGTAGAGAACTAGAATAAATAGAGAACTATAATAAATTAGAAAGCTGATTTTAATTGGACATTTCTTGAGGTGTTAAAGATTATCAAATAAGTCAAGGTTTTGTATGTCAAGATAAGGAAATTTATTAATTATTATAGTTTGTAATGAACTTCAGTGGGCAGAATAGTAGTATTTAATGAAAACCCCCAAAAGTCAAATATTAGTCTTCCATTTTGCCAGAATGAGGCATTTTCAATCAATATAGCATTTCTTTTTTAAATTAAAAGAATGGCTTTTTATGTCTCTAATTTTACATACTTTATTATAGCATCTTAACCTTTTCAAGCTTTCTTTTCTTTTAAAGGTTAAAATTAAAATTCAAGGAACATATTTTCTTTAAATTTGAATGACATCCTCCTAGACTAGAAACTTCTGATATTTTACCTACTAGTTTATTTTTCTTACTGCCAATGTACCACTTTCTGTTTTGATTGCAGTAGGCTGTAGTTTCTGCAGCAGTTAAAAAAGAATTTACTTAGTTGTAGATGGACATAATACCTTTATTTTATTTATTTATTTTTATGTAGTGTTGAGAATCGAACCCAGTGCCTCACCTGTGCTAGCCAAATGCTCTACCACTGAGCCACAACCCCAGCCCTCTGCAGCAGTTTTGATCCCAGTTCAAGTTCTTCCTTAAAATTCGGTGTCCTTCAGTTTCTATATCAGCTGAGACAACCAGTTTAACATGTACTGCTTTTTGTTTCTGGAAGTTTAAAAAGGAAACAACACAGTCATTAGGAAGCTGATTTTAATCTCTTTAACTTGTAAGTTACTTTGATTTAAGTATGTTTAAGGGAAGTCACTAATGGGGAATTTCTTTTTCAGTTTTATTAAAATACTTTGACTACTTTATTGGCTAAAACTGGGGATGTGTGTGGCCATAATTCTTTTTTCCCCTTGGGTCCATATTGCTAAAAAACTTATCATTTTCTTTCTTTCTAGATATTAGATCTTAGTGTAAACTTCAAATATAGCTTGTAGCTATATGATATTGGGCAAGTTACTTTTATGCCTCAGTTTCCTCACCTATAAAATGGGGATGATTCTACTTCTTTAGATTGTTCATTAGGGTTGTATTAAGTTAATAGCTAGAATTTTGATTCATTCTACTAATTTTTATGGAGGATTATCTGCTTCATCCAGGTACAGTTAACTTTTTTTTTTTTTTAATTATTATTACACTGAAGACTCCCAAATTTGTACCATTGACCCAGACTTCTTTCCTGAATCGTTTAGATTCTTGTATCCAATTTCTTAGTTGATGTGTCTGCTTGGGTAACTAAGGGATATTTCAAACTGAATTTTTTTTTTTTTTTTTCAAACTGAATGTTTTAAAAACTGAATTTTTAGAGATAAAATTTTTAATCATTCCTTCCAATTTTATTTACCCTGTAGCTTTTCATTTTCAGTAGAGAGAAATTTAGTTGATTGAGAGTTAAGATCAAAATATGAGTCATATATTTTTGTTTTGTTTTGCTTTGTAATAGTTTCATTTAAGATGTAATTTTCATATAGTAAATTGTCTTCACTTAAAAGTGTACAAATTTTATAAGTATTAAAATATGAATACAACTGTGAAACCCATTATGACCATCAGGATGGTGAACATATTCATTAATCCCAAGAGTTTCCTCTTGCTTCTTTATAATTCTACCTCATTCTTACTCCCAGTCCATACCTTGTCCTTGACAGTCACTGATGCGCTTTTAGACACTATAGATTTATTTAAATTTCCTATAATTTTATTAAAGTAGAATCATACAGTACTCTTTTTTTTTTTTTGAGTGTGGGGGGACGATGGGGTGTTTCTGGTTGTTTTTTGCTACCATGATTATTTTGAGATTCATCTATATTGTTGCATGTATTAATAGTTTGTTTCTTTTCATTGCTCAGAAGTATTCTGTTGTATAGGTACTCCAGAGTTTATCCATTTACCTGTTGATGAGCACTTAGTTTATTACTAGTTTGGGGCTATTAGAAATAAAGCTGCAGTGAACATTCATGTACAGGTTCTTTTATGGATGTATGTTTTCTTTCTCTTGGGCAAATATCTGGAAATGAAATGGATAGATCAAAATAATAGGTTGTTTTTGAAAAAATATCAAACTTTTCCTCAGAGTGATTGTATCATTTTATATTTTAGCTTATATTAAGAGTTTCAGTGTCTTCAAATCCTTGCTAATACTTTTTATTTTTTTTTAATTTTAGTCATTGTAGCAGGTGTGTAGTAGTATCTTATTGTAGTTTTAATTTGAATATCTCTAATGACTCGTGAAGTTGAATATCCTTGTATATGCCTAGTTGCCATCCATGTATCATCAGTGGTAAAGTGTCTGTTGAAATTGTTAGCCCCATTTTTAAGTTGAATTGTTTGTTTGTTTTCCTATAATTGTGCTTTGAGAGTCCTTTTGTTTTTGGTGCCAGGGACTGAACCCAGGGTACCTTACCACTGATTCCACTGAGCCACATCCTTAGCCCTTTTACTTTTTATTTTGAGTTGGGGATCTTGCTAAGTTGCTATGACCTTGCTAAATTGCTAGGCTGGCCTCGAACTTTCAATCCTCCTGTCTCCTCGTTCTGAACCAATGGGATTACAGGCATGCACCACAATGCCTGACAAAAGAGAGTGTTCTTTATATTCTCTGTATAAAGTCCTTTCTCAGGTACATGTTTTGCAGATACTTTCTCCCAGTCTGTGGCATGTCATTTTATTCGGTGTATTAATTTTTTTATCTTACACATCATGCTTCTGTTATTGTTTCTTAACATGAGGTTGCAAAGATTTTCTCCTATTTAAGTTTTATAGTTTTTGGTTTTACATCTATTAGTTTAGAAGAATCCTTAGTTTACATATAGTTTGAGGTATTGATATTGATTGAAGTTGATTTCTTTTTGCATATGGATATCTAACTGTTCCAGCACCATTTGTTGAAAAAGATAAATTTTCTTCACTGTAACAAGTGCACCATCATTTAAAAACAAAACGAAACACATTTGAGTGTGTGTGTGTGTGTGTGTGTGTGTGTGTATGTATATATGTATATATATATATGCATCTAGTTCTGGAGTCTGTTCTGTTGCATTAGTCTGTGTGTATACCTTTATGGTAGGACCAGACTGAATTACTGCAACATTTTAAATTCATTTTTAGAGTTGTTTGGGTGATTCTAGGTTTTTGTATTTTTATAGGAATTTTAGAATAATTTTGTCAATTTCTGTTTGGAAAAAAAAGCCTATTGGGATTCTGATTAGGATTACATTGACTCTGTATTGGTGAGAACTGACATCTCAACAATATTGTTTCTTGTGACCTGACCCATAAACACAGTATATCTTTAATTTTTTAGGTCTGTAATTTTCCTCAGCAGTGTTTTATGATTTCTATGTGTGGGTCTTAAGAATTTATTAAAATCAGATTAGTCCTTAAGTATTATATAGTATTTAGTGCTATTGTTTGGATTTCTGATTTTTAAAATTAACATATAAAATAGAGTTGATTTTTGTGTATTGTTCTTATATCTGCACCCTTATTAAATTCACTGATTAGGTTAAATATTTTGTATATCTCTTTGGATTGTCTACGTAGATGATCATGTTGTTTGTGAATGAAGACAATTTTATCTCTTCCTTTCGAATCAAAATGCTTTTTTTTTTTTTTGGTACCAAGTCTTGGACCCAAGGGTGCTTAACTACTGAGCCACATCCCCATCCCTTTTTAAATTTTTCATTTCGAGACAGGGTTTTGTAAGTTGCTTAGGGCCTTGCTAAATTGCTGAGGATGAACTTGTGATCTTCCTGCTTCAGCCTCCTCAACTGCTGGGATTATACACCGGTGTAATCTGGATGCTTTTTATTTCTGTTTCTCACCTGATCATGCTAACCAGAACCTCTTAATACAAATAAATTTGAGTGGATATCCTTATCTTATTACTGATATAGGATGTATTCAGACTTTTAACATTAAGTGTATATTAAATGTAGGTGTTTTTTTGTAGATACCTTTTATCAAGTTGAGGAAGTCCTTTTCTACATTAGTTTTAGAGTTCTTATTAGGAGTGAATGTTGGATTTGTCAAATTCCTTTTCATATTTTATGGCAGAAGTTATGGTAATTTGAGGTCTTGTTTTCTAATAAAGGGTTTCACTGTTGTAAATTTTTGCCTAACTATTGCTTTAGTGGCATCCTCAATTTTTACCCCATTCATGTCATAATATTTTCTACTTCTCTTTTGATTTTTTTCTTTGACCTAAGCTTTACTTATACTATTTAGTTTCCAATTATTTAGAGATTTTTTTAACAGACCTTTGTCTGTTTTTAATTTCTATCTTAATTCTATTGTGTCTAAAAAAACCTACTTTATACAGCTTGGATCCTTTCAAATTTAGTGTCACTTGTTTTATAGCCCTTGATGTGGTCTGTTTTGTACATGTTTCATGTGTACTTGCAAAAACTGTGTCATTTGCTGTTTGGTGGCTTAATCTATAAATATGTATTAGGTCAAAATAATTTATAGTATTATTTAGGACTTATTTATTTTTCTTATATACTGTCTGCTGTTTGATCAATTATTGAGGGCCATTAAAACCTCTAGTATAATTGCAGATCTGTCTGCTTATATTTCTATCAATGTTTACTCTGTGTACTTTAAAACTTGTTATCAGAGGACAACAGTAAATAAATGTTGAAGATTATTGTGTCTCCTTGATTAATTGACCCTTTTGTCATGATAAAATATTCTTTTATATTCCTGATAGCATTCTTTGCTCTGAAATCAACTTTAATATTAAAATATCTACTGTAGTTTTCTTCTGATTATTGTTAGCATGGTATGTTTTTTCCCTTTTTCTATTCTTTTGCTTTTAACTAGTTTGTATCTTTATGTTTAAAATACCTTTCTTGTTGGCATCAGATAATTGGGTCTTTTCTTTTTGTGTAACCTGAGAGTTGCTACCTTTTCATTGGGGCATCATTTCATCTTTTGACAGTTTTAGTTTGTTTGTCATCTTGCTAACGGGTTGAGCATCCCTAATCTCAAATTTGAAATTCTCCAGAATTCAAATTTTTTTGAATGCCAACATGATGCCACATGCAAAAACTTCACTCTTGACTTCATATAATGGTTTGAAGTCAAATTGTAGATACCCAAAAAATACTGTATAAAATTATCATCTATCTGTGTGCTTACGATATATATGAAATATAAATGAATTTCATGTTTAGACTTGGTCTCCATACCTAAGATATCTTATAATATATGTATATATATTCTGAAATCAGAAAAAAAATGAAGTCTGAGCTGCTTCAGATTCTAAGCATTTCAGATAAGAGGTATGCAACCTGTATTTATTTTCTATATTGTCCATGTGTTTTTTTCTTTTCCTCTTTTTTACTACCTTTTTAAGATGTATTATTTTTTAATGATACTTTTTATTTCCTTTGTTTCTTTATTAGCTATGACCTTTTATTTTGTTATTCTAGGGTTTACTGTACACTTGTTTAACTTATAACAGTTTTATTGAATAATGGCCTCAAAGGGCAAGAGTAGTGATACTACAAGAGAAGCCTAAAATGCTGCATAGGGTTTGATACTATCCACAGTTGCAGATATCCACTAGGGTCTTGAATATGTCCTCTGTGGATAAGGGGAGACACTGTACAACCTCCACAGTTTAGGATTGTTTTTGTTTTGGTGATGTATCTGAAGCTCGGCACATACTGAATAAATACTTGTTGTTTTGGTATTGAAGGGGACACAGAAGTGGGATAAAGTTCCTGTTCTTATAGTTTTTCATGGCACATGAGAAGAGATTGATGGACAAAGTTGTTACTTTTATATAATGCAGTATAGAACAGAGAGGTTATTTTGTTTAAAAGATTATTTGTTAAGTGTATGAATAAGTCTGGACCTTCCTTCAGCAGATTATTCTTAGGTAGCTAATGACAATAACAGAAAATATAAGCTTTTAAAGGATAAAGTGGCTCCTATCATGTATATGGTAGTAGATACAATTATAGAGTATTGTGTCCTAACGACAGTTTCTTAGTAAATTAGCATCCTGTAGTATGCAGATTTTCTAGCTAGGATAAATTTTTTTTTAATATTTATTTTTTAGTTTTAAGTGGACACTGTATTTTAGGTGAGCACTGTACCACTGAGCCACAACCCCAGCCCCTCAAACCCAGGTTTAACTGTTAATACTTAACTCACTTAGTAGGAAGTTAGTGAGATTTTTTAACAAGAAAGTAGATTAAAATATTTGTGCTAGGTAGAGTTCCTTCAGCATAAGAACTCCTTGTTTTTATTTTTGGAGTCTTTATCTTCATTGCTTTACATAATTCCTGGCACATAGTAACTATTTGTAATTGGAGAAAGTAAGGAAATGGCTTACCAGATATAAGATCCAACTTAATAGTATATCTTAATATTGGATATACTAATGGAAATAGCTTAAGTGTATATTTAATTATGTGAAGGCTTCTGAGTAAGTAGTGTGGAAGTTCATTTTGTCATTAAAATATGTGAAAATTCTGTTTAGTGCCTGCCACATCTTAGGACTCCATAAATATTTTTTTCTTTTCCTAATTTCATAAAATTGAGTAACTAGTTTTTTTTGAGAGAAAATAACATCAGTTTAGATTGTGAGTGGAGTTAGAGGAGAAATATAATGTAACAATCTGATATTTTTAGTTTTAACCTGTTCAGACATGTACTTGGTTTATTTGTGGGTAGTTATTAACCTCATTTCAAAAAATTATTAGTTTATTTTGGTATTGAGGATTGAACCCAGAAGCTTTCTACCTCTGAGCTACACCCAACCCCCATTTTTTGTTTGTTTTAGAATTTTATTTTGAGACAGAGTCTCAGTTGCCCAGGCTGGCATCAAACTTAGAATCCTCTTGCTTCTACCTCCCAAGTAGCTGAGATTATAGGTGTGCACCACTGTGCTTGGCATTAACCTCCTGAAATTAAATAAATGTATTGGGTATCTAGTGGAAAAGAATGGCAATTGGTGTCTTTTCAAATCTTGTTTTCTTAACAGCAAAATAGAAAATATAGTTTGCATCAGTGGTGTACAAAATCTAACAAGTTACATTTAACTAGTAGGCTTTCAAATTTGGGATTATAACTTTCATACCACACTCAAATACTCAGATGCAAACATAGCTGACATATTCTATGTCTCTGCATGGTTTACTTGAAAAATAGTAGAAGCAGTTACTTAACTGGATGACTATCAAAATGGTCAATGCAGATTGATGGGCTTGAGTGCAGTAGATAGTGGATATGCAGATGGTGGTGTCTGTATCATTTGACAGGAGATGGCTGAGTCTTTAAAATTATTTCAGTGGAATGGCTTTGGTGTTGTTGCAGTAAAGGGCATCCATTCAACCTCAGGTGCTGTACAGATGGCAAAGCTAAGCTAATATAGAAAAATGAGAAACAAGTGACTATTTAATGTACAGGAATGCATGATCCACATCACAAATAAATGATGGTATTACATGCAGGAAACCTAGCCAGATGGCTGTACATTAAAACACATGACTCCTTGAGAGAATTAAGTACAGGCAATTTGCTCAGATTTTCTGCAGGCCTGCTGCATATTATATTAGGGCAGGGAGAACAAGAGATTAAGTGCTTTATTTATTGAAAGTGTTTAGGTGAAGTTGGAAGTTATTTAAGCTTAATCTGTTCTCCATAAGTATTTAAATTGTCTCTTTGTGTGGGTGGGTAGAGGTGAGGAGGGACAGTTGGCTTTATAACAAAAGGATATAAGGAGCAAGATTTTTTGTTGAACCTGTGGACTACAGCTATCTTTTGGCCCATATGTTCCAGTTTTGTAAAGCTTTCCATTAGGCAGAAGTTTAAAATTTTTTGAGAAGTACTAATAAAAGTATCTATTTTTCAGTTTCAATGAAAATCAGCAGTGTCATATGGAAATTTTAAAGTAGGAGGAATTAATGTATTGAGTCCTATGTACAATGGCACCATTTCGCTGTTCAAATGTTAACATTTTTGTTTTCCAGCTTAAAGAAAGTGGTTATTGTACAGGTCATGAACCAGATTCCCTGGAATTCAGCACTGTGGGAGGATGGATATCTACTCGGGCATCAGGCATGAAGAAGAATATCTATGGCAATATTGAGGACCTGGTGAATTTATTTCTGTTTATATAATTGATTAGCATATAGGGATTATTATGAAGAGGTTCATCTTTGTCAAAATGTAACTCTTTTGATTATAATGATGTGGTGTTTGTATGTGTGTGTGTGTGTGTGTGTATATATATATAGGAAATGATTATAAGACATAATTGTAGTCATTATTTAAGAATGCCCTTGTCACATGATTAATACTTAAACTTAGTAGATATTTCACAGTATCCAACTTATGAAATACACAAATATTATTTACAAGCCTTATGGAAACTCAAAGATTTTAGTCTATTTAAGTATTTCAGCATTGCTACTATGTTACTTTAGGAGATTTAAAATTTATTTTTCTGAAAAAATTGAAAATTTTTTTCAAAAATTTAATTAAAGGCTATTTGAAATTGTTCTGTTAAGTAGTGATATGATCTGTAATGTTTAATGTGTTTACCATTTTGTTTGAGCTTATCTGGTGCCAATTTTCTGGGAGTCAGTGTGATAATAGTGTACCTGTAGACACCCTCGTTAGGTATTAGATATCATTTGTTTCATTGGTAGTTTTTCTAATGATTAGTTATGTGATCTTATGCAAATTGGTTCACCATTCTAAACTTCAATTTTCCTTTCTATAAAATAGAAAAATAAAATTCACTGCATAGAACTATTGTAAGGAGTAAAGGGCATGAAGGGAAAACTCAGCAGAATCTCTGGTGTGCATTAGGTGTTTCATAAATGTTAGTTCCTTTATCTTCAATATTTTGGGAGTAGTTCAAAAGAACTTTAATTTAAGAGGGTATTAAAGTGATGTTCCTAACATTATTCCTGGACTTGTAAAGCTTTCTTTTTCAAATCTAAAGTTTCAACATTTTCAGTTGATGTGAATTTAAAATTTTTAATGAGATATATTTGTTGTTTGTAGTTAACACCCAGTAATTTAAGACTCTTGTCAGCTTATATTGTCAGCTCTTTAGAAATGTTCACATTATCCTGGTTTCTTCTTCCCCTCTCTCCCTTTCCTTCTTTCTTTTCTTTCCTGTTGAGGATACCCAGGGCCACATTCATGCTAGTAAGGGCTCTACTGCTGAGCCACACTCCAGCCTATGTGCCCATGTTTGTTTTCTTTTATTGCAGACATTTTTAAAAATTACATTTTTCTTTTTTGTAACTAAAATAACTAAATTCAATTGCAGGGGAGAAGATTTAACTTTTTTTTTGCTATTAGATTACGAACTTTATCAGAGGTAGGCAAATACTTGATAAACTGTTAGATTTGGTACTGCCAAAGCATTTAATTTATTTTAGTCATTTTTGGGAGATAGTTAAGGGCCACAGATTATAAGTGTACATCCTAATGTACTTATCTGACAAGCAGTTACTAAGCACATTTTGTTTTTAACTTAATTTTTTTGCAACATCTTGTATCCTCTGAAACTATCTTAATTTTCATTGCTTTTTTGAAATCTCTACTAATATTGATATATTTTTAATATCTGTGCCTGCACTGGCACTCATGAAAAATATTACACTTTCTAGAAGTATTAACATTTCTTTAATCATTATTAGTGTATAAAGTATAGTAAGTAATGATATTTTAACTTTGGAAAAAAGTTGAAAAGAGTTATTTGGTCTAACTTTTAATCTGAAGATTTAAAAGTCTTGAATACTTTTTGTGTACAATAGAATAAACTTTTAACTTTAAATTTCCCGTCCCCCTTTGTTTCCAAGAACATTTTAAGGAATTCTAATTAAAGTTCAACTTGAGTTATCTTTTGATTTATTAGAAGTCTTTTCACTAAAGGATTTCCTGAGCATTTTTGGTTACACTTTCTTATACTGATGCTATGGAGTTGAAGCTCATGATCTTTAACAAAAATCTACTGCCACTGTAAAAGGTGCTCTGCTATACTTTTTCATTATAAAGTACTGTTAGAAGGAAAAGTAGAATCCTACAGTAATAAAATCAAACTAAAAATTCTGAATTTCACAAAAATAAATAAAGTGTGAAATAGCAAGCATTTAGTTTTCAGAAGAAAATCCTTCTTTTAAAATCATAACTATTATATGGATAATTTATGTAATTAGACAACAACTTGTTTTTATTTTAAGAATAATATATATACATATTATAAAAAATTACATGTTCTTTGTATATTAAATACATAGTCATTTCTAACAATTTTAACATCTTTATATTTATTTTCCCAATTATTTTTCTAGGCATACCACAAACATATGAGTATATCTAGTTTTTAATATAAAAGGAATCATACTGTGTTTGATTTGTTCTTTAATTTTTGTTATCAGTGTATTAACATGGATGAATGGAGGTGTACACCATCATTTAAAAAGGGTTCACATAATCTTTATGGATAATTCATGGTTTATTAAACAGTCTCCGTAGTTATTTTTTATTTTAAAATTACAGAAAACTGATAAAAATATCCTCTAATATAGTTTCTTGGGTATATTCCTTTGTTTTAGTAGGCTCCCTGAGGTTGAATTGTTGGATCAAGAAATTTATACATTTTTAAGTTTTGAATCCTCCAGCCAAATTGCCATATAACATGTTTGTACTGATTGATATTCCCACTAGCACTATGAGAATCTTTGTAGTTAACTAGGCCTTTTTGTTTATATTTTGTGTTTTAGTTTTGTGTGTGTGTATGTATTTTTTTTTTTTAATTGCTAGAGTGTAAACTTTGAAAATGTCTTCACTGGCACTTCTCATTTCTTATTTTGTGAATTGCTTATATGTCCTCTCATCATTTGCTTTAATAGTAAATAGATCATCATTGTTTAGTGGTCAAAAATCCATTCTAAAAATGTGTTGGATTTTTACCTCTTTCCAAATGAGATATTGAAACTGATTTTTAGAATGATCCTTCTTGCCCAAAATATTGACTTTCTTACCTATACGGTGCACTTGCATATATCCCTTGCTTTTTCTCTTTAACTCAGTTCTGTCTCTTTAAATCTGTCTATTTTTGTGGTACTTGAGATCTAATCCAGAGCCTGGTGCATGCTAGGCAAGTGCTCTACCACTGATCTATAAGCCCAGCCCCATCTTCATTTGACATGATCATAATTAATATTTCATTCTTTTTTTGTGGGGATAAGGCAAAAATATTATTTTTCTTAGAATTTCAAGCATGTAGCACAGTACCTGACATGAGTACTAGTGTTTCATAAAATACATTTAAATAGCCAGGTGTAGTGGCATATGCCTGTGATCCCAGCAGTTTGAGAGTCTGAGGCAGGAGGATTGCAGGTTTGAGGCCAACCTGGGCAATTTAATGAGAAATAAAAAATAAATAAAATATATAATTATATAAAAAATATTATCACACATATACATGTATGTTATGTGTACATATAGCATGTTACATACAATATATAGTGTATAATATATAACAATATTATAATGTATATTATATAGTATATATAATCATATACTATATGATATAATATAATAATATATTACTATATATACGAAATTAATGAAAGAATGAGCCTGTTAAAGTAATATCTTCACTGTTGTTTGTTGTTTGAGTCCTTAGTTCTTTGTCATATGGATAACCTTGGATTAAATCTTTAATTAAAGAAGTTTGTTTTTCCATTCTTAAGATGATGAATATATTTAAACCAGCTTAAATAAAGAGGCATATAATAATTTTAGGATTTTTCTCTCTTTTAGGTTATATACAAATTTTATCTTTAGTCTAAGAATTACTAAAAGATACTAAAGTCCTAAAGGGCATCACAATCTATTGCTTAGCCCCACATTTCTTTTTTTTTTTAATATTTATTTTTTAGTTTTAGGTAGACACAATATCTTTATTTTACATTTATGTGGTGCTGAGGATCGAATCCAGTGCCTCGTGCGTGCTAGGTGAACATTCTACAACTGAGCCACAATCCCAGCCCCAGCCCCACATTTTAAAAGTAGTATTTTATATGAATATGTAAAATGTGTATATATGTATATACACACACTAATTCAATGGCTGATTCCTAGAATTTACATCCTGTATTGTATTAAACAGGTGGTTCATATGAAAATGGTAACACCTAGAGGTGTAATAGAAAAAAGCTGTCAAGGACCTCGTATGTCAACAGGCCCTGATATCCATCACTTCATCATGGGATCTGAAGGTAAATATAACTACAGATTTATTATGAAAAAAAATACTGGTGACTCAATTTTGTGAAAAATCTATGTTATTTGATATCAGATCTTTGAAAGAAAGACATTTTATATACTTAAGGAATAGTAATTTTTAAAAAGTTTTATTATTTTAGTATTTCATAAAGTTTTTATTATGAGAACATCTTATTTAACTTTCTTGTTCATTTTGCTTTTTTCTGGAGATAGTGCATCTTTTTTAAATTACATTTTTTTCTTTCAAAATTTTTAATTAATTTTAGGAAAAGTAGGATGTAAAGTAGTTTAATATTGTGTACTATACTGTTTAATATCTTTACAGTTGTCAGGGGAAAGAACTGTAAACATTATCTTGCTGTCTTATTTTTCTATAATTTTATCTTTTTTTTTTTTTTTACTATTTGATTTTTAGAAGACCTGAAATTAAATTCTGATTTACATCTTTATTAGTGCATTATACATAATAATAGGGTTTATTTTGACATATTCATCAATGCATGTTACATAATTTTCTTCATTTCAGCCCCCAGTACTTTGAGTCACATATCTTTTAAACCTGTTGGTCATTAAATTTTGCAAGTAGTATCCTTAGCTGGTTACTTAATGTTGGATAGATTAGAATGTAGTTCTTTAGGTCATCCTAAATATGTAGTTGCTATATAGATTAGAAGAAAATTAACCTTTTCTTTATGTTTCACAGACTGTAGGTAGACACAGTGAATTGTATGGATAAGCTAAACATGACCGTAATTTTCAGTTCTTTGAAGGGGAGGCTTGGAAAATTCAGAAAAATAAGAATTTGGAGAAACAAAATAATCTAAAACAAGAAATTATTTCTAAATTTGATAAATTAAAACAAGAAAGTGTAAATTGGCAAAGGAACTCATTTGCTTTAGAGGTGGTCCAAGTAGAAAAAGATTTTAAGCTATATTGAGAAATGGAACAAGTAGTTATAATGAATTAAGATGTTAGAAGGTAGATTGCAATCTTTGATGGTAACATCAAAGAGGAGAAAAATGACAAAGTCTAGCTCTTGGTGTTATGATAAAGTGATATGATCTTTACCATATCACTAAAATTTGATAGACTCTGTATAGCTTAGGTGTTTTGCATGATAATCAATGAAACTTTTGTTGAGATTTCTCACCAGTTTACTTAGTTTATTCCATTTCTGATCAGCATAATCTTCTAGGAAAAAACAGCTACATTTTTAATGAGAAAAATAAAATATTAAGTTTCTTTAAAATAATATAGTTGTCAAATATTTTTCTGGAAATTCTTACATTAGTGCATTATCTAAAAGTTAACTAAAAGAATGTAAATTTTGCTATTAGATTGCAAGGTAAATAAGAAATGGGTATTAAAATTCATATATATATATATATATATATATTTATTTATTCATTCATTCATTCATTCAGATACTGGGAAATGGACTTAGGGGTGCTTTATCAGTGAGCTTCATCTCCAGTCCTTTTATTTTTTACTTTATAGACAGTGTCTTCCTAATTTGCCCAGGCTGGCCTGGAACTTGAAATCCTCTTATTTCAGCTTCCCAAGTCACTGGTATTGTAGCTGTATACCACTGCTCTTCCCCTAAAACTCATAATTTTTAATTTTATTATTGATATATACATAGTTGGAATTGAATCTATAAAATATATATTATCTTTTCAAGTAAACTCTTCAATTTTTTTTCTCAGTGTTTTAAAAATTCTGCTTGTTAGGTACTATGCTAGCACATTTAAGGGCACTTAAGTATAGGTTATGACACAACAGTGTGATAAATTCTATGATTAAAGTAAGTGCGGGAGAAATACAGATCAGGTCAGGTTGATGGGTATTTGAAGGCTTCCCCGGAAAAGCCATATCTAAAGTGGTTGTTGAAGGTTGTTAGCAGAAAATAATTCTAGGTCAAATATAGAAAGATGGGCAGTATTTACTCTTTAAAAAACAACATAGAAGCAGACTGAGAAGTGAGAAAGCCCCGTGTCTGCTTCATCATGAAACTGCCAATTTTTCAGTATAAGTAGGACATAAGGTTTAATTGCTTGGTAGAGTAAACAGCAGGTTATAAGGGGAATGGAGAGAGATTTAAGGTAAGAAAACAGTAAAGTAAGTGAAGAAATATGATTTATGGAAAATAGGTATAAATAGTTAAGTGAGATTTTATTATGAATATGTATTCAAAATAGCATACTGATTTAAGAGCATGAGCCATGAAGTCTGTCAGATTTGGATTTCAATTCTAGTTTTATCACTTGTGTTTCTGGGACTTTGTTTAAATTAGGTAATTATCTGTGTCAAATGTCCTCAGTTATAAAATGAAAATAATAAAAGCATCCCTCTTCATAAATTTGTTGTGAGGATTTAATGTGATTGTGCTCAGCAATTTATAAGACCAAATGTTAAGTTTATTACTGTTTTTCTGGCTGTTCATTATTTTGATATCATCGATCTTTACCATTTATGATTCCTAATCACTATTTCAGCTTATATGCAAATATAGCATTATTTTTATATAGGCCAGGAGATGACATGACTGAGAAAGTAAATTTATGTACATCATGTTCTGTTGTGTATATATATATATATATATATATATATATATATATATTTTAATGGACAGCCTTTATGGGTTTTTTTTGTTGTTGTTTTTAATGCGGTGCTAAGGATTGAACCCAGTGCCTCACACATGGTAGATAAACACTCTGCCACTGAGCTATAACCTACACCCTGTAAACCATTTTATCTACTTAATTGTAGAGCAAACAATAAATAAATAAAGACCATTTCCTGAGTTCTGGTATAAGTTATAGCTATAACCTATACCCTGTAAAATGTATTTTTATGTGCTGTTTTGAACTACATATATAATAACCTTATGCCTTAAATGTGATCATAAACCTTTCCTGAAGGTTAAAAATGTGGTTTTTTTTTTTTCCGTAGTTAAATTATTTGATGACAACCTTGAATTTTTGTTTTGTACCTGGGATTGAACCTAGGGGCACTTAACCACTGAGACACATCCCAGCCCTTTTTATTTTTATTTTCTTTTGAGTTGGGGTCTTGCTAAGTTGCTGAGGGCCTCATTAAGTTGATGAGGCTGACTTTGAACTTGCAATCCTCCTGCCTCAGGCTCCTGAGCTGCTGGCATTACAGGTGTGTGCCATTGCACCTGGTAATCCTAAATTTCACATATACCTAATAACCTGAAGTATAATGTGTTTGTCTTGTTTTGTGTTGTAAATTTTTCATGTTTTCTTCCAATAAGGAGTTTTCTTCTATTTTAAGTGCTCTAACATGATCAGTATAATGCAAATTATAATAAATATTCAAAGCATTATAAATGCTTTGCATTCTTTTCCTAACCATAGGATTTGCTAATAATTTAACTTTCTTTTATTTGAAAGACAAAGTGTAATTTTAGTTTTTAACCTACTGATAATACTTTTGTTTTAATGTTTGCTCTACAATTAAGTAGATAAAAATGGCTTATATCAATCCTTTTTTAAAGATTCACTAGTCATGTTTAATTAAATAAAGATCATCCTTGGGTGTATTTCTCAGGAAAGGCACTTTTACCATTCCCTGAGTTCTGGAATGTCCTAAACTGGTTTTCTGTGACTTTGATACTAAGGACGGCTTGAATGGATACATCTTTGGGTCATTCTTTCTCTAACTTTCTTGAAAATGCAGCTCCCCTATTATATTAATTTTATTTATTGTTTAAAAAAAATGATACCAGTCTATTTCTCTTGCTTTTCATAGGTTGTTTTCTCTTTTTACCTGGAGGCCCAGGATTTTTTTTTTCTTTGTCATTATACTCTTAAAATTTAAGTTGATTGGTTGGGTTATTTGCTGTAGTTGTATCTAGTAGACTTTTCCAATGTATAGACTCACGTCTTTTATTTCTAGCCAATTTTTTTTGGATTGTAATGTTAAATTTTTTTAAAAATTTCTATTTAAAAAATAAAGGTATTTTGGGGGGCTGACATTGTGGGAGCTTAGTGGTAGAGCGCTTGCCTAGCATGTGTGAGGCACTGGGTTCGATACTCAGCACCACATTTAAAAAAAAGTGTTTTATTATTTTGATTTTTATTCTTTAGGGACGCCCATTATACATATGTTTGAATTCTTTTGCTTATTTTCCAATTCACCCACTTTTTCTCTGATTTCTTTATTCTAGTGTCATTCTTTGGCTATTTTTCTGCTTTATAAAAATACCCTTTAGTAAGTTTTCATTCAAATGTATCTCTTATTCAGTTACCTTATAATTTAACCGTCATTTTTTAGGTGCTTTTTAAAATTGTTGCTGTATTTCTTTCCCAAATTTGATGGTTTGTTTTATTTCTGCTAGGGTTTTTTAAATTTGTCTTTAATTTTTGTGTTTCTAATTCTCTGTTTGTTTTTAGTATTCCCAGTAGCTTGTTTGGCAATATTTAATTCCTTTTGAAATGTTGTATTGCACTTCTTCTCAAGATCATGATTGGTTTGGGGAATGGGATTTTTTCTGCATACTATTATTTGTATTTTCTGACTTTTTTGCAGTATTTCTTTTTTTTTGTACCGGGAATTGAACTTAGGGGCACTCAACCACTGAGTCACATCCCCAGCCCTATTTTTTAAATTTTATTTAGAGACAGAGTCTCGCTGGGTTGCTTAGTGCCTTACTAAATTGCTAAGGCTGGCTTTGAACTCGTGATCCTCCTAAGCCTCTGGATCTGCTGGGGCTACAGGTGTGCACCATTGTCCCCAGCTGCAGTATTTATTTATTTATTTTTTAATATTTTTGCTCTGTTTTTTTCTATTCATGTTTGTTACTTTAAATAGGTTTCTAGTATGGTAGTGTTTTTTTCTCCATGTTCTGTCCTCTTTTGTGCTGTTTGTTTTTTGTGGTAGTTTTATTGAGGCAAAGGATGGCTGTCTTTTCCCATTCTTTTTCTTTACTGCCTTGTATCTAAAGAGTCTCAGCAGTTTGTCTGTCTGT